AGAGAGAGAGAGAGAGAGAGAGAGAGAGAGAGAGAGAGAGAGAGAGAGAGAGAGTGTGTGTGTGTCTGGGCAGAATGCACAGGTGCTCAAAGCCTGGGCCCCGAGGGGCTCCATAAACAGGAGCGGGGTGTGAGAAGGCTCTGGGTCCTGTCTCATCAGCAGCACTAGGCAGCGGCCTTGGGGGTAACAAGGCCGGACATTCCCAGCCTTGCCTTTCCTGTAGCAACACATTGTACCCAGAAGCTTCTTCCCAATCCAGTCACATAAAGGTGCTTGCTAACCCAAATGCTTCCCACCCCAAGTTAGATGGGCTAAGATGAGCTCACGACCGACAAGAATAATTATGTGTGAGGCAGGTATCTGCACGGGGCACCCCTACAGAAGTTCACGTCTAAACTCGGACCATGTGAACCCAGCAGCCAGTCCCTGGGTCCCGAGATGGGAAGTGTGGGTGTGGGGGGGTGCTCTTCCTGAGGGCCCTGCGGGGTTAGAGGAGATGATATCCTGCCTCAGCGCTCACAAGGGAGCATCCGCAAAGCCTGTGCTAAGATGTCTAAACTCAAAATGAGGACGTACATCGAAACAAATATGGAAAATGATGTCATGCTACATCAGGATTCAAAGCATCCTCAGCTGTCACAGTGGGGCTCAGCTCCAACCTCTGGCCTTCTGGGGCTCCCTCCCCGTCTCTGGGGCTGGATCTGATCTTCAAACACAGATTACACACCTGTGCGATTACCGCTGACCTGTCCCTACTAGCCACAAGGGTGGCGCCTGCTCTGACGGCCATTTAACCCCTGCACTAAGCAGAGCATCTGATACACATGGGCTCAGTCAGTGCTTGTGGAAGAGAGAATGAAAGAAGCAGCCATTCAGTCAGAAGCAAAGTGTGAAAAGCCACAGACCCTCCAAGCCACCCAAGGGAGGTAAGCAGAATTTCACAAAATGGAATTTTCAGGATTTCATCCCTTGAGTGGAAGGTATCCCCCGCAAAATCGGCATCTGTGAGGCCACTTACCCATTTCAACAATCAGGCCACTTATTTTTTTGGTTCTCTTTTTTGTGCCCTACTTTCTCCCCCAGATGACGAGAGAACGATCAATGCTGCTGCTGACTACAGTGCCTCAGAGCGTCTGTTACAGGGCTTCGCACTCACACTCACTCACACACACAAACTCACTCATTCACAGTCACACACACTCACACATACACACACACTCATATACATATTCAGATTCACAGTCACAAACACTCACACACATTCACACGCTCATATACATATTCACCGCCACACACACACTCTCACGTACATAGTCACACACACACTCACTCTTCTCTCTCACACGCACTCTCTCTTTTACACACACAAACACACACTCTCACCATCCCCCTCCAGCATCTCTGTGGGCTCAGGAGTTCCTCTGAGAAGGAGCAGGTTGAACACATGGGTTTATCTCTCTTCTCTGTCAATATTCTTCTAAAATGACAAGAGGAGAAAGCATAAATCCGCTGAAATAAGGAGCAAGAAAGGTGACCAAATGTCTGGCGGCGCAGAAAGTGGAAGGTACGGCTGAGCAGAGCAGAGGGGTTGGCATCTAAGGACCTGGAGGGACTCATGATTCACCTCTCAGGGTGCCAGGGCACAGGGCCACCAGACACCACTGGACACCAAGGTGGAGGGCATGGAGGTGGGTGGATTCAGGGCTGACACAGACAGACTGGAACAAGGTCTACAAACAAAGCAGTTAGACTCCCTGACTCCCACCCCCATTTCGGATGTACTTTCTGCAGAGAGGGAACCAGTAAGGCTCAGGGCTCGAGAACACCAGCCTGGTTGGCGGGAAAGGAGGTGAAGGAGGAAGTGAGGCTGCAGAGTGAAAAAGGGGGGCTTAACTGTGCACGCTGAATGGTGGCCCCTTCCCCTGCCGCCACCAGGCTCACCCTCCTTCCTGCCTCTGGCACCCCGACAGCCAGCTGTACCCTAAACTTAGCTGAAGGATTTGTCTCTGGAGAAACTAAAGCACGCCAGAGAGTAACTTTGGGGGTCTCCTGTTACACAGCTCAGGCCCACTGCATCACCCCACTGTGAAGCCCCTAGAGCTCCAACCCCATGAGCTAGCACTTCTCGTCTCGCTCTTAAAATATAAACTGACAACAAAGGATCAGCAGGCATTGCGGCCAAGTCTC